GTCGCTCGATTGGAATCGACCCGTGTATACGCGCCTTAAGTATGAGTTGTAACGTTTCAAGATTAGAGTTTAAACTTCAAATATAAATTAAATTTGGCGGTGAACGAGTGTTATGAGTTAGGCGATAGTGGGAGCGGGTTTGGCATTTTTCTGGGTAGACAGTCTTAGATAGCACAAACGAAAAGTCGAATAATTGTTATGTTAGAGTTTTACTTAAGAGCGAACTAATTCAGTACTACGGACTACATTACGTAAGTGTTCCTTAATTTGAGATAAGTCAAAAACAATTCCGTTTTTAGGATAATTGCCGATTCGTGCAAGGCTTTGTTGCGAAATAGATTCTGGACCGCATTTATCTGTCAAATCAATGCAATTGGTATTGTGCATATTTAGCAGCCAATTTAAATCTTGAGCCGTTTAATACCTGAAGTAAGTTTAATTATAAATGTATTCATACTCTTAAGACGCAGTTCCATTTAGGGCTCTATGATCTTTGATCCCTGATATCTAATTTCTGGTCTCCGATTTACGATTAATGGTCAAGCGATATTTCTGATCTTGAAGAATCGGTAGCTGCCATTGGGATTGGACCATTGATTGGCAATCACGGAAGCACGCCATTTTGCTATCGCCATTCGGCCATTCGACCTCTGTGCACCTGGTTCCCACTCGAATAAACAGCTAAGGATAATCACCATTATCATTATCATTCACACGCATTCTCTCATAAACGCTCAATCTAATCTCATTCCAAACGTCCATTTTGTCTACGTATTTATATAAGTTAAATTAAGAATAATTAATAGAATTGTGATAGTCGTTACTAGAGTAGAGGTACCTCCGCAAATTACAACAATAGTCAAATTAAACTTACCCCTCGGAATGGAAACAGGCAGTCATCGTCCCTATACCGAAACCAGGAAAAGATCCGCTACTGGCACAGAGTTATCGCCCTATTAGTTTGACATCTTGCTTGGGTAAACTGTTCGAGAAAATGGTTAATGTGCGGTTGCAAACACTTCTTGAAAACTACAATGTGTACGTACCTTATCAAACTGGTTTTCGGAGGGGACGGTCAACGACTGACCATCTTGTCAGACTTACTGACAGAATTCTAAGGACGTTTGACAGTGGCGAACACCTGGTTGGGGTATTCTTTGATATTAAAGGCGCATTTGACATGACTTGGAGATATTGAATACTCCAAAAACTCTTTAAGTATCATATACGCGGTAACCTACCAAAATTTATCAAATCCTTTTTAGAAAACAGAACATTTGTTGTCAGGGTGGGCGACGCCTATTCAGAGGTACAGGTGTTAGAGAATGGGGTGCCACAGGGATCAACACTAAGCTGTTCCCTATTTGGCATTGCCATTAATGAAATAGCAATGGGTGTCACCGAGGAAATAGATAAATGCCTGTACGTTGACGATTTGATGATCTGCTGTTCTGGTAAAACAATCGGTGCCATAACCCGTAAATTACAAATGGCAATAAATAAAATATGGGAAAATGCAAGCGCTGTAGGATTGATGCTGTCGGAAGAGAAGACTAAGGCCACTCACTTCTGTCGACTTCGTAAACCTCACTACGACCCAGTCCTGTTTATGATAGATCAAATTATATGTGTACCCCAAGAGGTCAAGTTCCTGGGGTTAACATTTGACAGTGAATTAAGATGGTCTAGACACCTGCAAAACATTGTTACCACAAGTAGGAGGTTGCTGAACATAATCAGAGTTTTAGCTCATAATAAATGGGGTGCGCATGCCAAGACTCTACTTAACATAAGAGCATTGATTCTATAAAAAATTAATTATGGTAGCCCTGCCTACCTCACATGCGGTAACAACACTTTATTAGGAGCACTAGATAAAATCCAGAACCTTGCAATAAGGTTACCCAACAACTCCTGTCGCCTCACTTCACGTGGAAGCAAACATTCTTCCTTTAACTCTTCGCCGAAAGCAGATTCTGGTAAACTATTATCTCTAGATAATACCCGAACCATCACTTGCTTACAAATGAGATGACAAATGCTCGTCTAAATAGATGTAGAACGATAGGAGAAAGAGCTAGAGAAGAACTGAGACACTTAGAACTCCATGAAGCAAATTTTGCAGATTTGTTCGAGGCAGGCTTGTAAAAGCTCAAATAAATCAGCGTTGGAGTGACCAGTGGAGGGCATCTGACACATTCTTGAAGAGGGTCAAGCCCAGCCTAGGACCACTGTTTCTTGTTAATACGAATCGTTCCGCCTTGATAAAACTATATAGACTCCGGCTTGGCCATACTGCCTTGACACATGGTTTTTTGTTGGCCGGTGAAGATCGTCCTCATTGCGTAAGGTGTGATGTAAACCTAACACCGGAGCATATAGTTTGTGTTTGTCCAGAATACCAAGATGCGCGTAACATCTATCAAATAAGTGACATATGGGAAGAAAATTTTAGCACTGTACATAAATGCTCAGAAGTACTGCGATTTCTAAGCACCATAAATGTGATAAGTAAACTGTGATAAAATGTTTGTAATATGTCCTATGACTGTACGTTTGAGCTGAAAATCTGTGATATATATGTAACTAGTAGGTATGCATTTTAAAACTGTGATATCTTAGCTGCTATAAGTAGGAAATAGATCGGCAAATGGCCTTAGAAGCCGAAGCCTCAGGTGGGGTTTTAGTGGGTATGCCCAAATAATCTACTTCAATTTATATTGTATTCATATTTGTCCTCGTCCGATTCATCTGTCGGTCGGCGAGTAACGTCAAGGCAGATTGGCGCCCATTTCAACGTAAAAAAAATAAGAGTCATTAGAAACCCACGACCCAGTGTAAAACAAACCTGAGCAGTAACCAGCGGCACCAAGTAATTCGCTTCAGATCAGGCGATACAAACTGGCGCCCAACGTGGGGTGGTGAAAAAGTTACGTGGACGTTTGGAATGAGATTAGATTGAGCGTTTATGAGAGAATGCGTGTGAATGATAATGATAATGGTGATTATCCTTAGCTGTTTATTCGAGCGGGAACCAGGTGCACAGAGGTCGAATGGCAATAGCAAAATGGCGTGCTTCCGTGATTGCCAATCAATGGTCCAATCCCAATGGCAGCTACCGATTCTTCAAGATCAGAAATATCGCTTGACCATTAATCGTAAATCGGAGACCAGAAATCAGATATCAGAGATCAAAGATCATAGAGCCCTAAATGGAACTGCGTCTTAGAGTATGAATACATTTATAATTAAACTTACTTCAGGTATTTTATGCAAGAAGCGGGAATATTGGTACCACTGACCTCCTATACGTAACAAGAGGCAGAGAGCAGCGCATTTTCAGACTGACAAAAGTAAATAAATCATTTTTTAGACAATCGCTTCAATATATAGGGCCTAAGTATTTCAATCAACTGCCCAGTGATATAAAATCCTCCCATAATATTACCGCTTTTTGTAATAAGATTAAATCATGGCTATTATCCCAAGAAGACATCAATGTACTGAATTATGTGTTGTCCTAATGCTGCTATATTCAGTGTTATCTTTTGTGTAGCAATTATTCAGTTTTTCAAATCCGGAAGCCATATTAATATCTTTTGTTGTTGTGATTTGTTAAATACCTACATAAAATATGCATGTACCTCATTTTTTATAGCATAAGATTAGCTTAATTTCTGTTAGACGGCATGTGGAGAGGCATTTTGTTTTCTGTTTTTACCTTAGTGAACTGGACTCTGTACTTTTTATTTTTATATACTTAAATATTATCTAGCGTCGGTCACTTACTACTGGTATCTGTGACCAACGTAAATCCGAATTTCTATACCTTTATATATTTTGTAAACGATTAATGGCGGAATAAATTCCTTATTTCCTTATTTCCTATTTCCTATTAAACGGCTCAAGATTTAAATTGGCTGCTAAATATGCACAATACCAATTGCATTGATTTGACAGATAAATGCGGTCCAGAATCTATTTCGCAACAAAGCCTTGCACGAATCGGCAATTATCCTAAAAACGGAATTGTTTTTGACTTATCTCAAATTAAGGAACACTTACGTAATGTAGTCCGTAGTACTGAATTAGTTCGCTCTTAAGTAAAACTCTAACATAACAATTATTCGACTTTTCGTTTGTGCTATCTAAGACTGTCTACCCAGAAAAATGCCAAACCCGCTCCCACTATCGCCTAACTCATAAAACTCGTTCACCGCCAAATTTAATTTATATTTGAAGTTTAAACTCTAATCTTGAAACGTTACAGAGTAAAGTGTGTCTATTAAAGTAAACTGTGTGCACTTATGGCCGTTTGCATCGACAAATTTAAGCGGCGCTTAGCTTAAGCGTAGCTTAAAATCCATGGCAACCATTGTCTCAATAATCGTTGTCATGGATTTTAAGCTACGCTTAAGCTAAGCTCGGCTTAAATTCGTCGGTGCAAACGGCCAATATACTATTTCGTTATTCCCTTTGGTATTTTTATTGTTGACTTTAGAAAAAACTTACAAAGGAAAAAGTTGTAGATAATTAAGTACCTAACACTGAAGAATGACCAATATTTTTTTATATGTCACACTATTTCAGTAAGGACGACGGGTTCCATAACAAAATATTTGATAAGGTTGTGTATCAAAAAATTGAGCATGAGTAAAAAAAATTGTGTCACATGTTTACAAACCCAGTATTTTAAGGTTCATGTTTAGGTAAGCTAAGTGATACTTTGTGTAGTAGTGCTAGTAGATCGATAGGTCTCAAATGGACGCGTCAGCCCATAGGGCATAGAATCAGAACTTTAAATTCGAATACTCAGTAAAAATGGTAGGTCTTGGGGCGGCGCCTAATGTGGGGGTCAGAATTTCAAATGGCCTGAGCCATGGTTAAGACTTTTACTTCTACACATGTACTACCATTTACCAAAATTAAAGTAATCGCCATTTACTCGACATTCACAACATTTACCAAGTGATCAACCCCTCTAGCTGTGCCATACATACATGTAAAACCGTGTATTCCCTTGCCATGCGTATTAAAAATAATCCCCAATTGTAGTATTTGCTGGGGCGCGGCCTCGAGAAAGCATTCCAGCACTCTCAGCAAGGCGACATCCGAATCCTCCTTAACCATTAACTCGTAATACTTTCTTTGACACTCAAAATCTCCCGATTTCTCGGCGTTCCTGGATTTGAGCGCATATCGAAGCGCGTCAAAATATCGAAGAATTGGAGCTAACTGAAAAACGAGCACCAGTAAGCAGCACACTCCACGTTTCGTGAACTTCTTGGTTAACGTTGTTTTCGGTTTTTCATTTTGATCCATAACGTACCTGTAAAAATTGAAATTTATTAGTAACTCATTAATTTAAAACATTTGACATTGCATTGTATTTAAATTCCTCAGTGATGAGTCCAGATTTTTGAATGTTGAGTCAGTGTAAATTTCATGGTTTCGTCTGCCAAATTGCAGACAAGGTTTAAAGTATAAATGAATTTGTGTAATATACAATGCGAATTAGATTCTTACGAAAATATTGTCATAATAAAATTAGTTGTATCTATCACACTTAGCTTGGCAAAGTGCATAACTTTTTGGCAAATTTTCAAATCCCTTTGGCAGTTAAGTAAAGTCACTTATGTCCTTTTATTTTTTAAAATAACGTTTTGCATAAATATTTTAACACTTTGATCCTTTTAATGTAGGTACAAACATTTACCAAGAAGAGATGAAGAAAATATGGAATGGCACAGATACTTACCTCTCTTATTAGCATTTATACATTATTGATGTCTGCATATTATCCTATCAAATTCAAGGTTCCTGACCTAAAACGGGAATAATTAAATTAGTGCTACGGTTTCGCGCTTTTTACATGTTTGAAACCTTCTAATTTTGAACATTGAAGGTCGATTCTCACTTGTGCTGCATTTAACTCGGCGACACGATACAATGCCACGCTGCAAAGCGGTGCTAAATAAAGATTTCATGTTTTTAAATGAATGCGTTCTCATTCTCACTTTACGCTACACTACGAGTTTACGCGATGCTTCGTCGCGCGGCAAAGTTTGTATTGTTTCGTGAGCGTTTTTTTAGCGCATTTTTTAAGAATTAAAAAAAATGTGCTATTGTTTGCGTTTTGTCCGTCCGTCCGTCCGGACTCACTTCTACCGTTTTCGAACTACTTCCAGGGGAATGGTCCTAGAGTCCTGGAATTTTTTGCAGTAGGTATAGCCTATACCTTGAAGGTGTGCCAGACGGCCATCAAATTTCCCTGTCTAAAATGGGCCCCCCCCACGAATTATTTCCTGAGATGACGGGATCTTGGGGGGGGGGGGTTAAAAATTAATTTTATCTCTCATTGTATTCTAATGAAAGATCTCGACAGAGGAATTAATTTATACTAACCATAGTCTATATAACCATTGGGCATTTAAATAAAATTTGATACATAGCCACTTGGAATAAACGAAAATTTAACGCCAGTTTCAAAATTAGGTTTTGCGCATGCGCAATGCCAACTTTCTGAATGAAATTTGATACATAGCCACTTGGAATAAAATCAAATGTAGCGCCATTTTCCAAATTTGGTTTTGTGTAGGATGTGCAGTGCCAACTTTCTTATTTATGGAAGAAATTTCGTAGGGGTGTTTAAAAAAATGCGCTTTACCTGCGCAAGGGTTGTGCACAATGTGTACTTGTGTGTGTATGTCGCGAAACACAAGTATGAATCTACCTTATACGTCAATTCTCTCAAATTCTCCAGGTCGCTCCAAGTTGATTTTTAGGTTCAATTAACAAAAAAAGGAAGGTGACATACTGGGCGCACGCAATTCATAAGGCTTAGTATTTTCTTCCATATGTTTTCCTTTTCTCCAGAATTGCTCTTTCATATAGTACCAATTATGAGGTTAGAACAAACCAAAATAGTTTTAGACCGGGAGGCAGCGTACATAAGTAACTAAACCATAAGCGACAAAAAATTCGACAATACAGGCTGAAAGTACGTTGAAAACTAATAATAAAATCACTCGTCTGCCAGTCGTAAGTGGCAGCATTTAACTTGGGGCGGCGCTGAATAGGTCACTTCTTTAGGTGATCAACTAAATTACCAAACTATAAGGGTCACGGAAAAGATTTGTATCAAGAAATCCCATTTTTTCCATAGTTTTCAAATATGCTATGGCAGACGATTTCAAGTGCAGCGTTGGTAGCGAAAGACGCCCTCCAATGTAGGGAAAAACACCCCTGAACTAAACCATGAGGACTGTATAAAAATTATACATAAAAAATTCCTCTTTTTGTCACTACTTTAAAATATATCCTGGCAGACGATATTAAGTGTAGCTTTAATAGTGGCAGACGTCTTAGAAGTTAAAAAATTTAGGTATAGTAAATCCCAGCGAGTGCGAGCGTGTGAGAGATAAGCGCGCGAGAGCACAACGAACAGAGATAGCTATAGATTTACGCACCGCTTGGAGTTACCAAACGAATTAAATTAGGGAAAATAATAAATTGTTTATTTCGCTATAAGATTGTCGGTATTTCTTGAATTCTTCTCAGACTGAGAAACAGAAAACTTGAAGAGAAAAGAAGATAGATCTTCAGCTCGTTCTAAACTATCCTCTGACTCCAGTTGTAGATGTTGTTTTAATCGATGGATTATTTTTTTTTGCATCTTTTAAAAGATCTCCGGTAAACCTTTGAGCGATTTTCTGAACACATCCTCGGCAAGATTTGTGCTGTGTCAGCGAGAGAAGTACATCTTACTTTTGACAGATAGTTACCCCTTCCATGAAGGGCGCAGAACATGATCGTTGGGATCAAAATAAGGAAAGATTACAATCCTACTCAATTTCTGTTTCCACTCAGAAGCAGCCTGCAAATTTCATAAAACCACTTCGCAATGATAGCTCAAAGTCTCTCTTATAGATTACATATACCGTTCATAGGCAAAAAAGACCTGTTGTGCTTTACTTGGAAGGAAAGTTGTGTTTGCCTCATATGAAGATAAGTGCTATAAATTTGTGACAAGGGAAGATGATGTGGTAAAAACTGAATTGTGCTGCAGCCACTAAGAGGCAGATTCTCAAATAATTTACCATCTTGGTAAACTACCAACAAGTAGCAAAGTCATTATTAGCGCTTCCGATATGGATATTGCTGTTATTGCTTTGGGAAATGTAAAATTGACGCTACCATCAAGGTATAGATGGAAGTAGGTACTAGGTCCTTTTCCACTAACACGCAGAAATTCATAAATCTTCGAGAGATGTTCGTGAATTTGGGTGTTGATGTGTGTAACGCGCGTCGCGCAGGGTAACGCGATACCGGGTTCCCACGCATTTACCGGATGTATGACTTGTGCATGGTCCTCATGGTTCATTCATCGCAATTTGGGCGAATGCCACCGAAAAATGTCCGAGTTTCTACAATCCGTTTGATTGAAGTGGATGGAACTATGTGAATCAGAAGTTTAGAATCAAATGGTTTGAAAGATCTCAGTAGTCAGTATCCTATCGCTATCTCTGTTGGTTATGCTCTCCCGCGCTTATCTCTCACACGCTCGCACTCGCTGGGATTTACTATACCTATTTTTTTTAACTTCTAAGACGTCTGCCACTATTAAAGCTACACTTAATATCGTCTGCCAGGATATATTTTAAAGTAGTGACAAAAGAGGAATTTTTTATGTATAATTTTTATACAGTCCTCATGGTTTAGTTCAGGGGTGTTTTTCCCTACATTGGAGGGCGTCTTTCGCTACCAACGCTGCACTTGAAATCGTCTGCCATAGCATATTTGAAAACTATGGAAAAAATTTTTTCGTACATATATATAAGCGGGGAAGTCCTTTAACAAAATGAGTGATAAGTGCAAAAAATGTGATAAAAATGTTTCGACGCGTAAAGCTAAAATTCAGTGCACCGACTGCCAGCGATTCTTCCACGGAAGCTGTGTGAACCTATCACAAGACGATATAGACCTTCTTACTTCATCAAGCGACATCTGGCGGTGCGATCAATGTAAGGTCCATATGCGAGACGAAACAGTAGCTGACAACCCTACTCCGAATATCGAGGATGTAATGAAACTATTGCAGGAGATGAGGAAAGAATCCCGCGATCAGGTAAAGCATTTGGAAAATGAGCTAGGAAAGTCGGTGGAAGCTTGCCACGAAAAGATTGACGAACTTTCGCAGAAAATAGAAAACCAGTCTCAAATACTCAGCGATTATGAAGATAAAATAAGCAAGTTGGGTCAGGAAAATATCAATCTACGCGCCAAGGTGAAGGAGCTCGAAACACGTCTCGACGACTCAGAACAGTATTCCCGTGTGAACTGCCTAGAGATCAACGGAATACCGGAACGGAACCAAGAAGACGTCCCGGAATTAGTGAAAAAGGTAGGAAATAACCTCGGCTGCCCAATAAACGATGATATGATTGACGCCTGTCACCGCCTAGGAATGAGACAAGAAGGAAGAACACGAGGAATAATTGTTAAATTCGTAAGGAGATCGATCAAAGAAGACCTACTTCAAAAAAGGAAAGTCAAGAGAAACTTCAACACCCGGGACATCGGTTTTTTGGACGGGAACGCCGAATTGGTTTATATAAACGAGAGTCTAAACCAAGCACGAAGGAAGGTACTAAACGCTGCAAGGGCTGTGAAGAAGGAAAAGGGATACACTTTTTTGTGGGTGAAAAACGGTAAAGTGTTCTTGCGGAAAAAAGAAGGCGACAAGGCGATAGTTCTCACCAACCTGGAGCAAGTTGCTACGTTGCAATAACGGACATAGTTCTCGGCGACAGGATACGGACACGAACAGTTTTTTACCTGTAAGTAATACCCTATTGCAAATATTATTTTCTCCTGGACTAGAACTTTGAGTTTATGGAACTGTATAAAATAGAATTTTTGTTTGGAATAATTAATAATAATAGTTATAGTTTTTGATAAAAACATATTTAACTTATACAGCAACAGACTAATTGTAGTGCACCAAAATATAAGAAGTCTGAGAAGAAATTTTGATATTTTTATGCTTAAAATTGAAAATCTAGAGACGAAACCAAATGTTATTATAGTTTCAGAAATATGGGTAGAGGAAAGTGAATTAGGGTTTTATGAAATTCCAGAATTTACGCTCTATGCAAAATGTAATCATAATCATCGAGCAGGAGGTGTTGCGATTTATGTGAATACCTCCTTGTCCTGTCAAAGGATAAATAATGTAAATCTAATAACAGCTGATTGCGTTCTTTTACAAATTAAGTTAGCTAACAATTATTTAGTTGATATTGTCGGATTATATAGACTGCACGAATA